GACCAATGGTCCATCTAGTCCAGCATCCTGTCTCACACATTGGACAACCAGTTCCTCTGGATGTCCAACAACAAGGCATAGAGGCTGAGGCCTTCTCCTGATGTTGCCTCGTGTGTCTGGAATTCAGAGGCTTATTACCTCTGAATGTAGAGGTTTCTCTCAACCACCATGGCAAGTAGCTATTGATAGACTTGTCTGAGGCCTGAGACCCTCAGAGAACAAACAGCGATTCCCAGCGATGCACTTTTAACAATTCAGCTGGGGGAGGGTGAACTGTCCTGTCCTGATCCTCCTTGAAATTTTGCGGCAGGTAGCAACAGATTTAGAACAATACACTATCAAAGCAGTGAAATTTTTAAAAATGTCCACACAAAATATTCATCACTACTAAATACCTAATTCATATACTGAGATAAAAAAATCTTATGCCAATAAAAACCAAACCAAAGTCTTTATACATTTATGGAAAATACTCATGTTGTATTACAACCCACTGAAAGACTTCTGTTGATAATTCATTTTTATGCCTTCCATCAATGTATTTCCATGAAAAATCCAGGATAATCCAGGATAAATCAAAATAGCTGAAACCTTCACTTCTTTTGTCAAGTTCACTGGAATCCAGTCAGTCAGATGTTTTTGCTCATGTGACTTGCATCACAGTTACAATGCACTATGAGTTTTAAAGCTGCACAAACACTTATTAATTCTAATGGACGCATAGTTTGTTGAGGACCTCCATGCATTAAGGATAATGCAGTGGTAAACATTGTTTAAGTGCACTGAGTAGTAAAATGTTCACCATTTTAAAAGGATTGGCATGAAAAGGTCATCACAAAATTCATCAAAATTACAGTGAACTACTGGCATCAAAGTTGTGAGCAAGTGATTTGGTTGCTGCATCAATTCGTTTGCTCTGGACCCCTCCTTTCTGAGCGACAACAAACAATGTGTGAGCCAGAGGCTAAAAAACTGTGAGCTAGCTCACACTAACTCAGCTTAGAGGGAACACTGCTCACAAGGTGACTGTTGTGGGGAGAGGAAGGGAAGGCAATTCTTCTTTTGTTTTAGTAAAGTGCAAATGATAAATGTTAGAATTATATTTCACAGGGTGAAGCAAATATACTACTGGGAGTAATTGTTCTAGAAGTAGGAATATGTGGTGTTTCAGGTACATTCTTTATTGTTTTGAATTTATGGGCCAAGAATTAGGAGATACAGTTAGTGTGGACGGTATCGTATCTCCTAAGAGAAAATGCCTTGCCTATATCCCAAATTCAATATGTAAAAAAAATTAAAATGCTTTTCACCAAGTCTTTCAGGCATAATTTGTCTAAAAATAAACATCCAATAAAAAAACAGCTACCCCAGCATCTGGTGCCTCAAGCAGACTTCTCATTCAAGCTGCAAAAATCAACTTCTTTTATAAACAATGATACTTTATATAAATTCCTCCACCTTTATGAGATAACATACCTTTCAGATTATTGTGCCTGTCTAATTGTACAGATAAAGTAAAAGCAAATAACTTCTTTAGAATCCCATATGAAAACAATAAGAGTACATTGGATTACAGAATACACACATCTTTTAGAAACACCAATTATAGGCTTCATTCAAATGATGCAGCAATCCTGTTTGTTCATGACAGGCATGAACATAGATGTTTCGTCATGACTGAGTACTTCCTGCTCTTTCTCCATCACCCACATGGAGCACAATTCAAAGCTTCTTATTTTGGGAAGCTCTAGATCAAACTCCAATTTCTTTTAACATTCAAATACAGGCATTCACACACACCTGGGATTCTGAAATGGGAGTAAACCTTCATTCTACACATGGAGTGATAACAATCTGTAATAAATGTATGCATGGAAGTTTGTGTGTGCCTGACTGAAACCCATATTAGATATTCGTATTAGAAACTTGCAGCCGCATGGTGTCTGTATTTTTTGAGGTGTTCTAAATGTTGGGTAAGACTACACAGTACAACAAACCACCAGTGGCTCCGGTCACACGGGCAGGAAACTGCGGGGGGGGGAGCGTGGCTGTTTGCCCCGGGGCAAACTAACCCGCGGTTAAGTGATCAGACCTCCTGTGGAGGTCTTGTGGAGGTACCGTGGAGGTTCCGTGGGTAGGGAGAGGTGCCGATCACAGGACACGCCTGCGCGGAACGAAGAAGCGCGTGGTGTGGCAAATTGGTTTTCTTTTTTTGTGTACACGACAAATGCGCATGCTCCGTTGGGTGCGTGTGCGCATCCACGGAGACTTGGGGGAAAAAACCCTTTTTCGCAAGGGGACATGGGTGGGTGCCGGATGCCACTGGAAACGCGATCAGACGCCTGCCCTTGCCCCGTGGTTTCCGGAAACTAGTACCTCCAAGGTACTAGTTTTTTGCTGCGCGTTTTCGGCAGGAAGCCTCGGTTGTGCCACGGAAGCGCTACGCTTCCCAGATATGCCGGTGAGATCGCACCCAGAAAATCCGCCAGTCTTCCGTTTCTCTTGCGTGGCTAATGTTCCATGTGACCGCAGCCTGAGAGTCTGATTTTAGTAGCAGCCTGGTAGGGAAAACAAAACCGTATATATTCTATCTGTCAAAGGGGAGCTGTCCTAAAGTATTAGTGTCCCATGCTATTGCTCAAACATCTCCCTGGAATCTGGAATGCTAAATAGCAACACAGATATCAAGGACCTTGGGAACTGTTTTTACCAAGGTGCCTGAGCAGGTATCCTTGAAACTACATGTCCTTTTTCCTGGGATGTGATGATCATGTGAATTCCACACTTCGGTCCATTCTGCATCTGGCACTGACTCCACATTTTCTCAGGCCAGAGGAAAAGGTGCAACTCAAAGCTACATTCAGATACCTCAGGGCAATGCTGTACTGACTGTGAAGTCACCCCTGAACAGCTATAAATCTATGCCGAAGGTATCATGAAACCAGATGAACAAAGAAAGTGAAAACAGCATGCAGTATAGAGGACAGATTTATGACCAGACATGACTATGTGAAACAGATGGGTGCAGAATCAGTCTTAAAAGAATCCTGACACATCTGCAACAAGTATTCATGTACTCTGGAATACTGTATTTCCCCGAGTCCTTAAGCATGCTACTGTTTTATCATTCCAGGAATCAGGGAAGAATAGAGGTCTTGCAGAAAGGCCTGTCTGTTGCAATTCCCAAGTACATTTTATGGGAAGAGAACAGATGTGGTGGTAGGAAATGATTGTACTGAGGTCATCTCATTACAATTTTGGTATCATTTGGGTTTACGTCAATGAATTTGGGGACAAACTTCTACCTTTGCCAGCATGACTCCACCAGTGTTTGATTTCAGTGACATTAGTTATAAACATTTATGGATTTATGGTTGTATGCACATCTGTTTTGCCCTGATGGCAAGTATTCATTTCTCAGTTCCTAAGTACGACATAGTATCATAACCACAAGATCCTTTTCCATATGGGAATATAGGCATGCAGACATAGAGTTGCTCTGTTAGCTGTACAAGAAATTGGGTCAAGAAAAACGAAATTGTTTCACTGTTTCTTATGGGAATCCTGCTGTGTTCAGCTAATGTAGGCCTGTACCTTGAGCCAGGGCTTCAAAGTGCATGACTTTGTCCTTTCACCTACTTTCCACAGGCTTGTTTCTGAATTTTAAAAAGGCAAAATAAGTACTTAAATGTTAAGACTAGAAAACACAAATTATCACAAATTTAAGTTTAAAAAAATATTAGGTTAAAACATTTAAACACAATATGGTAGGGCTGATTAGTTAATTAAACAAAATATAGTTTAAATTTTGCAGAACATTTGGTTGTGTTGCTATTGGGAGGCAGCAAACTCCTTCCCAATATTCACAGCGATCCCTGTAGCAGATACCAATGAACAGTGAGGGTGTACTCTACTAAGTGAATTAAATACATACATTCAGAAAGCACCTAGTACCAGATAAACATGCTATAGAAATGGAAGAAAGGATTAGAATCAAATTCAAAATGTTGTCAAAAGCCTCTGACAGCTACACCCATAAGAATCACTGCAGCACTGTAGGTGAAAGTTGGTTACAAGAGTCTTTATTTTGCAAACTATACAGAAACATAAAAAAGAAAAACAGTAATATGTTTTAATAATACATAAGATAATTATTAAGTTTTGTATTAAAACTACTGAAATCAAATGCAATGAAGAAACAAACTTTATTTCAATTAACTGTAGATAAAAATCAGGGAAAACAATAATAAACAGTTGAAATTAAACAACTGCTTGCATAATATTACACAGGTTCTTTCAATTTTATTATGGCACAAAGCCACAGGTCTGATATGCATGAAGGTGGTGGAATTTTAAAACGTCTACACAATTAATTAACATGCTAACATAAATACAGTGATTAAAATAATTTTCTCTATAGTCCAATTTTGAATGCTACTCTACATAAGAATTATAATGTATTCTACATGGTAATTATATAACAATGGGGGCAGGGAAGAAAATAACCCATTTCTCCATTCCAGCAGCAGTACCTATATTGGCATTAAATTTGGAATTTGGTAATGCTCAGCTATTTGCCTAATAATCCTATATCGGTATGCATGCTATAAATCTTTCTATTTCTATTTTGCAAGGCACCTTACAATACTCATCTAAAATTTTGATCTACAGAAAAAGGAAATTAATTAGGATAGAGACGCAAAATTAGTTGGAAAATGAAAAAGGCCCAGTTCAGGGAAAGTGTCATTATTCTCAAGTACAGTACAGTAATATAATAAACATATTCTTTATGTAAAGTTTTCCCATTAAAATATGTTAAACTAATTTTATCATTAGAATGCTATAGAAATAAAGGTAAAATAATCAGGCTGCCTGCACAACCAAATATATATGATTTTGACTTGAAAAGAAATCATGAGCATAAAAGGACAGCAAAACTTTAGATCTGCAGTGTTTATGCTTGTCCATGTTTGCTGAATTTTAAAAATTATCATTTCCTCCCCTTATTAATCTCAGCATCAAAAACATAACCATTGCAAGTACAAAGGAGGACTCTGCTCTCCTCATATAGTCATGGCTTTTTGTTTTTCCAGTAAGTTTTAAATGACTTATTATGACCTTACTGAATGCTACTCCTGTCCATGCATATTTTGAAAAGTCCACATGGTCTAAAATCACTGCTAAAGATTAACAGAGCAGCAGCTGGAAGTGGCCACACACTTGCGTTCCCAAGGAGAAAATGTTTTTCATGGAAGGTTTTAGAAGTTTGGTTGTCCTTATGATTATCTGCACACCTTTTTTTTTTAGTAGCACACACATACATTTCTTTCTTCAGGCTAGACTCCAGTGATTTCTTCTGCTCACCAGCATATAAAAACAACATATAATGATTTTCATTTAAACAAAGAAAGTCTATGACTCCAGCTGCAATATTTCAAATAATCATACAAAATATACATGTTTAGAATCTCCTTTTGACCTTCAAAGGTATAGGAATTTTCTGGTGTGTCTCCACATGAATTTTAGAAAGATATAATTTATTCACAGCTAAAAGCATCAAATGTATCCTTCATGGTCATCGTCATCCTCATCATCTCCTTCATCCTCATCGTCATCTTCAATTTCATCCTCATCATTCATCATATCATCTTCCTCATCATCTATCCATTCATGGAAATCACCACTGGAAAAATCACCCGATGTTTCTAGTTCAACAGCTAAAATAAAGTATACCTGCATTACTATATGTCAAAGGTTTGCTACAAGGTAACATATATTTGATTTTATCTTTGCACATGTAAGACAAAACAATGCAATAAGGACTTTTACAGAACTAGATGTTGCATAGTAATGTATGAAACCCTAATCCCCATTGAGATGAAAATCAATGAAGCTGTTCTGAACCTTTTCCATTTTTTTTTGCCTCTCTTGTGAAGGACCTAATTATCTGCTGTACTATACCAACAGTTGGCCAAAGAAGAAAGACAACAGTGAATGGGATGTTTCCCCCTATTTGTTATGCCAACAATGTGAATGAACCAGTCAAGTATTCTCATGACGTTGCAGAAGGCAGGCAACTTGCCTAGGGCCATCCAGGGCTAAAGACTACCTGTTTTCCAGGGTCATCCTCCAGGTTCTAGTGTAAGTTTGCCTTAATTGATAAGAACTGCTATCTTTTGATTCCTAAAGACACAAATTTAGCCAAAAGTGAAGAACATTTTAAAATGGTAAATTTTAAGCACACTAAGGACTTCAGCATGTCATCAAAAATAAACAAGGAAATTCTATATTTTGCCAAAATTGGTGTGGATAGTTGTGAAACCATATGGGTAGGGTTGCCAATTGCCCAATATGGGTGGGCAATCCCTCTGTTTTGAGAGCTGCTGTCTGCCGCTGGCCAGCGGGAGGGAATCCCCCTCAAACAATGACATTGAACGTGTCAGCTGGAAGTGACATTGGCGATGACAGGGGTGACAGTCTGGCTTTTGGGCAAAACTCTATGGTTTGATGCTGAATTTACTATAGAGTTTTGCCCCAAAACCCGAGTGTTGGCCCTGATATCGCTGACGTGCCGAAGTCACTTCTGGGTGACAAAGGCATGTCGTGTGCGACATTACTTTTGGGGAGGAATGGGGGGGGCAACTTCACTTCCCACTGGCAACCCTACATATGGGGCTGTATTTCACAATCAAATCTTGGTACTCCAGCCCATTGTAATGCTCTTCAGTGGAGTCATACCAAAGGGAGACCTAATAAACAGACTGAGATGGGTTCACACTTTTTGGTGTTCTTATTTTTTCCAGTGAATATGTAGAGCATGAACCCAGGGGAAGGAGGGAGAGAAAATAATAGAAAAAGAAAATAACAGAAACCCTTTCAAAATTGGTCATTCAACAGAATGCATTCCTGTTGTATCACTCTATTCCCCCCTTAAAAGACTGCCAGTTTGTCAAAATAGCACACTTATATTTTAATCAAAAGTAACAGGCAGATTTCTGTGACTCACCACAGTCTGCAGCACCATGTGTTCTTGATCCTGTCACCTCATTGCCATATCTGTCAACACACCAACATTGCCCTGCACTTCCGTGGCACTGAGTTGGTTTATAATACCCATCTTCATCACATAAAGGGATATACTGCCCTGTGCAATATATATATATACACACACAAAATTTAAATAGAATAAGCAATTAATCAACCAAGTATTTGCGAAAAATCTCATTTTTTAAAAAAAATCCTACTTTTTTATTATCAAATGTTTCTACTCCTAATCCTGAAGAATATATCTCTTATATTCTGACTTTTCCCTCAGCTGGGAACCCAA